TGAGACTATGGCCCCTAGCTGCCCTTCAGGTCTGGAATTGAACCCACACCTGTGGTTACCGGCCAAACAAAATACAGGCATATGAGTTGAACATTTACCTCAAGTAGATACAGTCCTTGGAGAGAACAATCATGGGAGAAAGAAGGGCTGCTTATGCACAGGGAGACAGCTCAGGGTGCAGGAGTGTATGGAGGGATGGACACAGGGAAGAGGTAACTATGTGGAGGAAGTGGGAGGGGAGCTGTTGCATTGTGGTAAACTGTGGTCAATGACGAGACAAAGTATATGTGAACTGCTGTATGGAAAGTGAATTTGCTTTGTAAATCTTCACCCAAATCACAATTAAAAAAAAAAATCTGCCTTGAACATATGCTCTCCTCTCTCTTTCTCTTTCTTATTTGTTATCTGGGTGAAAATTTAGAGCAAGTTCATTTTCCGTATGATTTTTCTTAAAGACAGAGGAATCATCACAAACTTATGATTGGTGGTAGATAGAATCATCATGGTTCCAGGAGGGACTGTAGAAGCAAGGAAAAACAATGATTGGGATTTGAAGATATCAGTGAGGGTCAGCCAAGCTGGATGGTGAGTTTGGAAGGTAAAGGCAAGCCTGACTCATGCCTGACTCTCTAGCACCTTAGCCTGGTGCCTGGCGGCTCTGCATGCCTGAGTAAACTGCTTGGATGATGAACATTGTTCACCCTCTGTCCTACCTAGTCTAGGCCTTCCTACACGTATGATAGTCTGCTTCAGAACTGGTACGTAGGAGCAGCAGCATTTCTAAACTTGCAAAGTTAGAAAATTCATTTTCATGTGGAAGGATTTTGAGGAGGTGAGTGATCCAGTCCAGCCAGGGATTCAATGCCAGGCATAGGAGCTTGGCAGGAGGATTGATTGAGGTAGTTTTTCTCAGGGACCTAGGATAAGCTGAGGGAATCTCCCTAAGAGTGTGGGAGAGGGGAAAGGTGGAGTCCTGCTGGGGAGCCTACAGAATATTTGAGAAATCAAGCCTTCACCGAGGAGATGACCACTGACCTTTGTAGTTATTAACTGCTGTCGAGTCAGCTCCTAACTCATGTTGATGCTGTACACAGCGGAATAGAACACTGTCTGGTCTTGCACTATCCCATGATTTGTTGCATACTGGACCATTGTGATCTATAGGGTATTCATTGAATGCTTTTTGGAAGTAGATCACCAGGCCTTTCTTCCTAATCCATCTTAGTCTGGAAGCTCTGCTGAAACCTGCTCAGTATCATAGCAACACATAAGCCTCCATTGACAGACAGGTGGGGGCTGTGCATGAGCTGCATTGGCTGGGAATAGAATCCGGGTCTTCTGCATGGAAGGCAATAGTTCGCCCATTGAACCTCCACTGTCCCCTTCTACTCACCTTTGCCCACCTGGTAACTGAATGCTGATGGCCATATCATCTTATCTGCAGAGACCATCTCAGCCATTATGGAGGTAGCCGAGGAAGAGAGTCCCCCAAACCCTAGCTGTAAGATCATGACCTTCAGACCCTCCATGGAGGAGTTTCAGGATTTCAACAAATGCCTTGCATACATGGAGTCTAAAGGAGCACACCGAGCTGGCCTTGCAAAGGTAATCATCTTCAGATATTTTAATCCAAAAATGATCACATGATCTTTAAATCATTCTCTTTGGTTTCATGATGTAGAAAATTATTTCTTCCAAAGGAAGATATAAACACATATTGACTTATTGTTCTCATATTAATACACACAGCACATAGTTAGATGTTTAGCTAAGAAGCAATGAAGACTGGACATCTTTTGGGGAAGAAATGATTTATATAAGCTTAATTCCATACTGTATGTATGTATGTATGTGTGTGTGTGTGTGTGTATATATATATATATATATATATATATATATATATAAATAAAATTCCATACTCTTTTGAGATTTTGAGAGACAGGCAGGTTAATATAATGGCTAAGTGTGAATTCTGGTACTAGGCTTTCAGTTTGAATTTCAGTTTAGCCTTTAGCTCTTTAAACTTCAGTATGTTAATTTTACTTCTCTGTGTGCCTCAGTTTTATCTTTAAAATCAAAATGCTTATTCTGCCAACTTCATAGAACTCTTCAGAGCAACAAAAATGAGTTAATACAAGTACACTATTTGGTGTAGGGAGTATTCAATAAATCTTAACTGTTTAGAAAGGTCATTTAAGTGGGGCTGAATGTTTGGGAGAATGCAGCATATGCTATTGTGAATCTTCGTGGTTCCTTTACACATTTATTATAGAGATGCTGAGAAAACTCTTCACTTGTATTCTGTTGGAATATGGAGGCTAAATAATTACCTAGAATGTTTTCAAGATACCATTTTACTTTATTGTTTCATTTATAGGTGATTCCTCCTAAGGGGTGGAAACCCAGGCAGTGCTATGATGACATTGACGATTTGCTGATCCCAGCACCTATCCAGCAAATGGTGACAGGGCAGTCGGGACTCTTCACTCAGTACAATATCCAGAAGAAAGCCATGACTGTGAAGGAGTTTAGGCAGCTGGCCAACAGTGGCAAGTGAGTGGGTTCTGTTGCTGTTTTTATTTCTTTAAAAGTTACAGATGAATATGGTAGGAGACCAAGGGGACAGAGGGTGTGTGAGAGCAGGTGTCCCTCATTCTGTCTCTGCACCATCATTTCACTCTTTCTGTTCTTCAGGTGGTTGCCTGTTTACATTCACTGTCAGGGAAATTTTTCCTAATTTTATTATCTCATTCATAATTACTATAAAGGCGTTTCTGTTTTTGAATTGCCATATAGTTTGATTCTACCTGTAGTTATTTTTGTTAGGCAGTTTTCTTTTTTTCTATGTGTGGCAATAGTAAGACCTTAAATGATAAATTATATGTATTAGAAAAATAATCATTTCAAAAGAATATCCTTATGACTTGAGGAATTATTATATTAGTTAATCAAGTGCTGTGTAACAAATTATTCTTAACCTTGGCAGCTTAAACTAACATATATTATCTCACAGTTTCTGAAGCTTAGGAATTTGGGAGTGACTTAGGTTGGTGATTCTCACTCAGGGTCTCTTATGAGGTTGGCCAGAACTGCTGTCATCTGTAGGCTTGAATGTGACTGGAACATGCTCTTCCAAGATCACACATCTGGGTTGGGTATCACACATCTCCCACGACTGTTGGCTGGAGGCCTCAGTTCCTTGCACATGAACTGATCCTCTTGGCTTTGGCAGCTGGCTTTTCCCAGAAAAGTTGATATGAGAGAGATTGATCAACATGAAAGCCACAATGTTTTCTCTTGACCTTTTTCAGAAATGACACACTTTCACTTTTGCTGTATTGTGTTAGAAGTGAGTTGCTAGACTAAATCCACCACTTGAAAGGAAGAGTGTCAAAGAATTTGTCGTTATATTTGAAAATCATCACAATTGGGATTATTATAAATTATTATTTTAAATTTCTGATATTGGTGGTTAAAGCCAACAAACAAACCCCAAAAAACAACCTGAAAAACTAAAAAAACAATCAACCTTATTCTACCAAGAAACATGGTGGACTGAATTCCCTGGGTTGGTCTAGATGAGATTAAGCCTGTGGTAGTTATGTTTTTGTGACAACTTGGCTGGGCCTGGTTGAGTGGCTGGGCAGCTGGTGGTAGTTGTTCCCCATGATGAGACTGGCAATCAGCTCCATGGTGGGTTCTACCATAAGCAGCTGCCTTTTGGATGTGGTCTGCTTCCTGTACATAAGGAGAAGCCTTGGAAATGGTCTCTGGCCTATGGCACGCTTAGACCCTGCATGTAGCTGTGTCATTATTCAGCAGCCTGCCATGCTCTGCTGACCTTGGTACTTACAATAGACTTGGATTAATGGCGGGCTGTGTGATTTGGTAATATTGGGACTGTGCCTTGTTACTTGTCAACCTTGGGCTTGTTAGCCTCAGCAGCCAGCAGCTGTCTGAGTGAAGAAAAGCCTCTAGCTTCAATGGGCCCGGAGCTGGAGACGGAGCTGAAGCCCAAGGTTAAGGGGCTTTCACCCAGCCCCCTAGAGCTTGGCACTTTGAACTTGGACTTAAAGCCTCCAAATTGTAAGAATAAACTCCTGTTTGTTAAGGCCATCCCATTTGTGGTATATTCTTGTCAGAGTGGCACTAGGTAACCACAACAAAGCCCATTGGATGAACTTGGTTAATGTATTGTTTTTTTATTTTTTAAATTTATTTTGTCATGTTGAGCACATGATGATACTTTTGTGTAAGCATCACACTTATGGAGGATTCTGACTCTTCCAAAGGAAATGAAAATTTTACATTTAAGTTTGCCTTCTTTTGAATTGTTTGGTAGATACTAGTAAAGCTCATTGATTCAGATCTCATTAATCGAGAATATGAAATTGTTATCACAGTCTTGGCAGGTTTGTTTCCAAAATATTTTTCTTTTCTTTTTTGCTGAATACTCAATTTTTTGCTTTTGCTACTCCTTTTTATATTTTAAAATACATACTGTAAACCCAGTGCCACTGAGTTGATTCCTACTCATAGTAGAACTGCCCTGTAGGGTTTCCAACATTGTCATCTTTATGGAAGCAGACTGCCCCATCTTTCTCCCATGGAGGAATGGTGGATTTGAACCTCCCACCTTTTGGTTAGCAACCCGACACTTTAACCACTGTTTTAAAATTCTTTTAAAACACTTTAATAAGTACAGTGTTATTGGAACAAGATTGCAGAGGCAATTTTACCAATTTTTTGCAAGTATAAACTGTTTACTATATTCTGTTATTTATTTTTAGTATCCGTCTCCAGTGTTGCTGTTAGAGCATTCATGGAGTAGGTTAGTCCATTTAGTGAAACTCTGCTTGGTAACTCTGATGTGCTAAAGAACAATTTTTACTTGTAAGTAATCAGATTATACTTACTAAAATAATATTTATGAGTACTCTCAGTAATCATCATAACTACCATAGGAGAGGTACAAAATGCTATGGGATTTCAAAGGAAAAGTCTTCTGTGGTGGTTAATCAGGAAGGGAGTGATTTCATTCTTGTAGATGCTGTTGAGATGCATTTGGAAGGATGATTAGAATTGTTTTTACTGATCACAGTGGTGATACATGTTTCTTAAAAACAAAAATTAAGCAATATCAAAATATCTAAATATCTAAATTTAACTCCCAGAGACAATAATTGTTAATAGTTTCAGTACATGCTAATTCAAAATGCTGTGAAGAATAGAGCCTTGAAGTCTTTTGTTTTCTTGTCTAGAGGAACTTTAATCATCATCTCTAGCCAGTTTGATTATTCTAGCATATTGTCAGTTTTCTATTGAGAGGGGATTTACTTACTTTATTCATATCTCTGTTCAGTTTTAACTCTGGTGGCTTGCTTGTAGACTGGCTCTTCCTGAACACAGCCATTCAGGTGACATTGTCTGTTTTGTCTATCATTGTATACTCAGTGCCTGGTATAGTATCTGGCATATGGTAGTAGGTGCTTTTTAAATATATAAGGCATCCTGGCACAGTGGTTTAGCTCTCAGCTTCAACCAAAAGGTTGGTGGTTTGAACCCACCCAGTGGCTCTGAAGGGGAGAGACCTAGTGATCTCCTGCTATAAACATTACAGGCCGGGAAACTCTATGGGGCAGTTCTACTCCATCACATGGGGTGCTGTGAGTCGGGATCAACTCTAGGGCATATAACAGCAAAAGTTTCAATATATGTCGACTGCATGAGTAAATAGTGTCATGAAGGCTAAAATACACTTGTTGTTGTTGTTGTTATTTGCCATCGAGTGGGATCCGACTCATAGCGAGCCCTCCTTGGGTTTCTGAGGCATTATCACTACAGAAGTAGATTGCCCAACCTTCCTTCTGAGGAGTGCCTGGTGGGTTTGAACCACTAGCCTTTTGGTTAGCAGTCAAGTGCCTTAGGCACTACGCTACCAGAACTCCTAAAATACACTTGAAGCAGTATAAATGATTAGCCAGATTATAAAGATTTATTCATTAACACATCATATATTTCCTGATATTCTGCAGCTTAAAAATTATTTTTTAAATAGTTGGATTCTGTTTTTTAAGTTGGAAACTGTAGCCACTCTGAGAAATAGTGTGAAAATTATTTCTAGGTTAAATTGTATTTCTTTCAATAATTTATCCTTTGATTTGTTCTAATTTATCAGTGTTCTAAAATTAAAATGTTTTTGAAATTTGTGTTCCTGTATTTCCTCTATCGATTTCATGTGGAAATTTATTTCCTATGCTAGTAAAATGGGTTTATAAGTCTCGAGCCTTGTCTCTCTTGTCCACTCACGATCATCTAGTCTTCATGATGGTTGTGGAATGGTCGTGAGCTGGGACTGACTTTCATGGGTGGCAGGAGGCTCTTACAAGTCTTCTGTTCGTATGTTTTTCTTTATTATATGCCCTTGCACAGGACACATTTCATGATGTGCTTGGTATAAACAGTAGAGAGGATAGCATGCTCATTTGATTTATACCACAATTTAATATGAAGAAAATTTAGAGAGCTCCATCATAGCTCTAACATAATGCTTTATGGAGGTGAATAACATATGCTCTTGCATGTGCATTGCTGAGCTTTTATTTTCTTCTAGGCACAGAACTAGTGCTTCACATATGACTGTTATAATCTCTACTGTATAGAGGAATGACTGAGATCCAGAGAGATTCAGTCCCCTGTCCAAGGTTATATAGCTTACAAATGGCAGAACCTGGATTCAAACCCAGGCGGTCTGGTCCTGAGCCTCCTCTTTTAACAACTGTGCTCTGTAGAATGAAAGGTTCTGGGTAAGAAGGTATGTTTGAATCAGTTGTAAGCAGGTTGATGCAAGATTTGTGGAACAGCTGTAATTGTTTATCCATTCATGGTAGAATCTGTAACTGGGTTTCATTAGATCAAGCATCAGCCAAGGAATCTGGCCCCTTTGTTGGAATCTGGAATCAGTGTATGCTCCAAATAGTCAAGGATTTTATAATTAACTTGAATGGACAATACCAAACTTTAATAACGTTTTAGAGTTATGGGTTGTGAAAAATTGCCTCCGATTGGGTGGGGATATAGTGATCTGTAGGTGCCTGTTATATAGAATAAGGCACATTAGGGCTTCAGTTTTAAAAATTCTGGAAGCTGTGTGAAAGAGGCCTAATGTTTTTTCCTGCCATCCACATGTTCAGCATTTGCCAACCTAATAATTGAAAAGAATCTTCTTTTGGTTTTACTTTCTTACTAGCTTTTAAGTGAGATGGTCATTTGCTTTTAAATCCATAATATTTCCTAATATAATATACTTGGTTAAAAGTTTTAGAAAATTTCTATTTTGAAAGTTAAAGTAATGGATTTTTAACTAATTTTCTGCTTTCATTGTTGATACTTTCATGAAAGTCTTTTTTGACCCTAATCAGAAGCATAGAGTCACGATACAGAGTTATTTTGGCATTGTAAGAGTATTCACATATTTCTGATAAATATGTTTGTATATTTATTTGCTAGACTTGAAAACATGAGTGTTTATAGCATGCATTTGCATGTTGATAGGATTTTGGTTAGAGAGTGTTTTAAATCAAATGGGTGGGGAACTTTAAATGGTCTTACTGGTTTTATGTTTATTTTTATCTACCTTTTCTAGATACTGTACTCCAAGATACTTGGATTATGAAGATTTGGAGCGCAAGTACTGGAAGAACTTAACTTTTGTGGCACCTATCTATGGCGCAGATATTAATGGGAGCATATATGATGAGGTATATTTGTAATGGTATTTGTAAAAGCTCAGTTGTTGTTACTGTCTTTGTTAAAATTTTAGACAGTAGGGAAGTGTCATTTGCTATGCTTTGAGTGATCCATTATTTCTCAAGGATAAGAGGAAATACAGACTCATCAGGAGGATTTCTGCTCCTGATATATATATGTGTGTGTATGTGTATGTATATATATATATGTACGTGTGTGTGTGTATATATACACACACACACACACACACATACATATATATGTATGTATATGTATTTTAGCTACTTAAAACAATACCCATTTATAATATCACAGTTTCTGTAGGTCCAGATTCCAGACACAGCTTTACTCAGTCTTCTGCTTCAGCCTTCATAAAGCTCACACAGTGTGAGCTAGGGCTGTGTTTTCATCTAGGGGCTTGGAAAGGATCTGCTTCCAAGCTTGTTCTAGCTGTTGGCAGAAGCTAGTACCATCTGGCTGTAGAATTCATGGTACCTGCTTATTCAAGCCTGTAGTAGAGAGGGCCTCTGCTGTTTAGGGGTTCTCATTTCAGGGAAGGCCAGCTAGTTGTACAAATACCTGAGATCATTCAACATTGTACTATCTAGTTGTCTGGCTAATCTTCAAATTACATTACATTTTTAAAGCACCAGCACATTCTGAAAATATATGGACAACCAGAGAGGTTAAATAGCTTTTCCAAAGTCATGTGTCTACTTGGGAGATTCCATGTGTCCTTGACCCCCCACCCCAATTTTAGGAAGTAGTTGTGTGCAGTCAGTCTCATAGTTGTGGAAAAGAGTAAAACAAGGTCATTGTCAACTATACATTGTCCCTGAGCTGGTGGCTCATTTCATGTCTTCTCAGTGTTTTTTCTTTTCAGTAAAACTTGATTGTGTTGTTGGTGAAAGCTAGGTTCCCATTTAACAGTTACTACAAATATTGCATAAAGATTGATCTTCTAGGCATTAGTGGGCTGAAATGGTTTTATCCATTTTGAATCAGACAATCATATGATCTATTATGCTGGGAATGGCTAATTGAAGAGGAATGGTGTGGCCTTTATCATTACAAAGAATGTATCAGGATCTGTCCTCAAGTACACAATGCTCTCAGTTATAAGATAATACCCATGTGTCTTCCTACATGGGAGACCAGTTAATACTACTATTAGTCAAATTTATGCACTAACCACCAAAGCCTGAGACAAGGAAATTGCAGATTTTTACCAACTTCTGCAGTTTGAAATTGACAGTCAAGATATGTTGATTATTACTGGTGATTGGAATGCAAAAGTTGGAAACAAAGAAGAATCACCAGTAGTTGGAAAATATGGCCTTGGTGAATGAAATGATGCTGGAGATTGCATGATAGAATTTTGTAAGACCAGTGATTTATTCGTTGCAAATATCTTTTTACAACAACACAAACAGCAGCTATATATGTGGACTTTGCCAGATGGAATACGCAGGTGTCAGATCGACTACATCTGTGAAAAAAGGTGATAGAGAAACTTAATATCTACAGCCAAAACAAGGTGAGGAGCTGACTATGGAAAAGACCATCAACTGCTCATATGCAAGTTCAAGTTAAAGCTGAAGATAATTAAAACAAGTCCACAGGAGCCAAAATATGCCCTCTGAATATATCCCACCTGAATTTAGAGACTATCTAAAGAATAAATTTGATGCATTGAATACCAGTGACCGAAAACCAGATGAATTGTGGGATGCCATCAAGAACATCATCCATGAAGAAAGCAAAAGGTCATTAAAAAGACAGGAAAGAAAGAACAGAACAATATGGATGTCAGAAGAGACTCTGAAACTTACTCTCGAATGGAGAGTAGATAAAGCAAAGAATGGAAGAAATGACAAGATAAAAGAGCTGAACCGAAGATTTCAAAGAGCAGCTTGAGAAGACAAAGTCAATTATTATAAAGAAAAGTGCAAAGACCTGGAGTTAGAAAACCAAAAAGGAAGAACACACTCAGTATTTCTCATACAAAAATAACTGAAGAAAAAATTTAAGCCTTGAGTTGCAATACTGAAAGATTCTATGGGCAAAATATTGATTGATATAGGACACATTAAAAGAAGATGGAAGGAATATACAGAGTCACTGTACCAAAAAGAATCAATTGATGTTTATCCATTTCTGGAGGTGGCATATGATCAAGAACCAGTGGTATTGAAGGAAGAAGTTGAAGCTGCACTGGAGGAATTGGCAAAAAACAAGGCTCCATGAATTGATGGAATATACCCATTGAGATATTTTAACAAACAGATGCTGTGCTGGAGGTACTTACTTATCTGTGCCAAGAAACTTGGAAGACAGGTGGTTGGCCAAATGACTGGAAAAGATCCACATTTGTACCCATTCTAAAGAAAGGTGATTGTACAGAATGTGGAAATTATTGAACGATATTATTAATATCACATGTGTGTTAAATAGTGCTGATGATAATAAAAAATGGTTGCAACAATATATTGGCAGAGAACTTCCAGAAATGCAAGCTGGATTCAGAGAAGGGTATGGAGCGAGGGATATCATTGCTGGTGTCAGATGGATCTTGGCTGAAAGCAAAGAATACCAGAAAGATATTTGTCTGTGTTTTATGGACTATGCAAAGGCTGTGTGTATTGTAACAAATTATGGCTAACAGTGAAAAGAATGAAATTCCAGAACACTTGAATTGTGCGCATGAGAAACCTGCACATAGACCTGGAGGCTGATGTTTGAACAGAACAAGGGGATACTGCATGGGTTATATCAGGAAGGGAGTGTGTTACGGTTGTATCCTTTCACCATTCTTAATCAGTCTGTTTGCTGAGCAGATAATCTGAGAAACTGGACTATATGAAGAAGAACGCATCAGGATTGGAGGAATACTCATTAACAGCCTGTGATGTGCAGAGACACAACCTTGCTTGCTTAAAGTAAAGATGACTTGGAAGCACTTACTGATGAAAATTAAAGAGTCCAGTCTGCAGTATGGTTTACATCTCAATATAAGAAAAATGAAAATCACAACTGGACCAGTATTCAATATTGCTTATTGGCAATATCACAGTAAGTGGAGAAAAGATTGAAGTTGTCCAAGATTTCATACTACTTGGTTCCACAATCAACAGCAGTCAAGAAATCAGATGATATATTACACTGGGCAAACCTGCTGCAAAAAACCTCTTTAAAGTGCTGATGAGCAAAGACGTCTCTTTGAAGACTAAGGTGTGCCTAACCCAAGCCCATGGTATTTTCAGTTGCCTCATATGCATGTGATCTCTTTGTTCTTTTTTGTTTGTAGCTATAATTAAGAGTTCAAAGCAAGATACTTGGGACCATTTTTAGATATTTGACAGAAAAATGCCCCTGTACTCTTTTTCATATTTGATCATGCTATAACATAATTGTTGACTGCTGTGACAAGCTGCTGGACTCTGGTTTGCTGTGCTTATTAATTTACTACTTGCATTTGAAAGCCAATTATACATTGGAATTGCTTTAAGGGAACATTGACATTAAACTTCAGATTTTAGTAACTTTAGTTATTAAGATCTAATAAACAAAAATCCACTGGTTTGTAAAGTGCAGTGTTTAAAGCTTCTCCTCATTTACAGGTTTAGGAACTGGGAATCTGTCATTCTGGTAAGCCCCACAAGGCATAGCAGTACACAGACTTTTTGCAGGTCCTCTCTGTGGAAGTGTTTAGCAGCTCCTGGGCCAGGTTGACCTTTTCAATGCTTTAGTACTCTAAAGACAAGAAAAATGTTAACAGCTACTAGTAAACAAAACCAATCGTACTCAAGACATCAGAATTTAAACAAATGAAAAATAACTTGTGCTTACCCTCTTGAGGTAGATGAAGAATAACAAGAGGAAGAGTGCACTAAAGAGAGTGATGGGAAGTAAGAAAAATCATAATTTACAACTGTCTGGAACATTTGCAGTCATCACAATGAAGGTGCATTGACAAAGCCCTGATACTGCTTTGCTGTTGACCCTCATTTCTTTCCATTGTCTAAGTCTTCAGTTTACTGTTATTGTATATTGAGAATGGGCTCCTTGTGTTTCCTGGCATTATTTTGAAAGGAATTACAGTTATCCAGTTGCACTTCATGACTCCACTAATTTCTATGTATGACTATTTCTCTTAATCTTCAAAGAATGGCTGGAAAGCTACAGCCTTTTTATGGTGGATTGGGTGTGGGGGTTCCAGTGTAGGTCTGGGAAGGTAAGAGAGTTTGTTCCTGGTAGAAAGATGAATAAGGATCCTTACTTTCAAGTAATTCACTGACTGGAGGGCCAGGGGGACAAGTATCATGAACTTACCCATAAAATGAAACGTAAGGTTGCATGGAGCCAGGAGAAGAGCACATAAGGCACTGAAGGGAGACTTTTGGGAGGAGAGAGGACATCTGGAGGACACTGGCTATGACAGATAAGTTCAAACCAGACAAGGAGAGAAGGCTGGGGCAGGGGCTAGGTAAGATTGAGGGTAGCACCATACCTAATAGTCTGGGGTTGTTTGCTTCATTCTGAATATTCTCAGAATGAGATTCTTACACATTTGACTACATTGAGATAATGAGATTGGAATGCTTGGTGATCTTGGGAACCTTCTGTGGTTAAAGAAGCCCTGGACTTAGAGCTGTTAGTTTTCTTGGGTGAGCCTAGATGAGTCTGTGGCAACAGTAACAGTAAGCTTAAGGGTCTAAGTATTTTATTTTCTTTATGTATCTCTCAAGCCTGGGCCACTGATAAAATTTTAATCAGTCTCTGTTAACTATCTATATATTTAAAAGCTAGCTATCTCTTAGAAGCATCATGGGAGTTTCTTTAGAAAAGTGAAAAATAAACACACAAAAAAGAAGATAAGAAAGAGGAGACAGGGAGAAAAACCAAAATCCTATAACTATATGCAGTGATAAAACTTGGGCAAGTGGTGTAAAAGTCAGCAGATCTCTGTAGAAAACACACAAAGTGGAATAATCCTGGGGTAGCCAGTAGA